GTGATGGATGACTGAATGCAAACTTGGCAAGGTTACTCACCATTTCCCAAAGAATACAAAATGCTACAGGCTAGTCACACACAGGGATTCTCTGGTTCGAAGTTCTTAAGGCTTGGCAACATCCAAGATTAGTTAATTGAAACTACAGTGGCAACATAATTAAGGATGTGAATTTGGGGAAATTTCTAATGTCTGTGTCAACTCAGGATGCATTTGTCCTTTGAGTTCAACTTATAAGTGAGCCAAAGATATGTATGTATATGGGACAGCATTCCCATTGGCTCTGGAGACCAAAGAGAAGACCTTACCTTTTAAAGGTAAGTTCATGGGACATATTCTCAGCTGGTGTAAAATCAGTTTAGATCCTTCAGTGTCATTGGCGCTATATTCATTTAGACTAATTAAGGACATGGCCCAGGGTTTCTTTGTGTATTAAGTGCAGGATTTTCTATGTGTAATTCACACAGAGAGAGAAAGAGAGGGAGAGAGAGAGGAAACCCAATAAAGGATCATTTTAATCGGATGTAGTTGTAATGAAATATAAACAACCCAAATTACACATATATTGTAATAGCTTTTCTCCCACTGGCTAGTGCTAGAAAAAAAAAACAAAGGTAAAGCCAGTTTTTTTTTCCTGCTTGGTATAATGATCCTTATAAAGTGCTTTCTTTATGCATCTAAACACATCCTGCTAGACTGACAGACACCCCTTGTCAGACAGGCTCTGTACCCCCAGCTTCATCACTCTGTGCAGCTTAGTTACATCACACTTTGGAGCATTTCATTTTCATTTGGAAGAATGCCCAGTTTTTAACTTTTCCCACATGTGGAAGGCATTTAACTTCAGCTCGGATTGGATGGAAGGGGGAACGCACGAGTGGACAGTAAGTACTCTAAACCAGGGAAGTTTAATTTGAATAAACCCCAGAGCTCAGGGGAAGCTGAGAGACCTCAGCGCTGTATCCAAGAATTGCTCTTTTTGCTTCTTTCCGGTACTTTTCTTCCTCAAAGAACTGACCTCTTTCACTTTCTTTTCTTTTCATCACACAAAGAACTTTTAAAACTATCAGTAATAACAGTTCTTCTGTCTTGTCTGCTCAGACTGTAGGCGATTTGGGGCAGAAGCTTCCTCTTTCTGTGTATTTACAGCTTCTAACCCAGCGAGACTCTGCAGCTGTGTAACAGTAGTTACAACAGTAATGTCTAGAAGAGTCTGACCCATAGTTTACTTAAACCAAAGGGAGTTGACGTTGATAGGTTTGGATCAGACCTTTTTCAATTCTTTTCATCCATAGAGCCGAAAAGATTTTTTTCATGAAATGAAGCCTCGTACAACTTAAGTTTTTGCTTTTTCACTCCTGCTGCGAGGTGTTTTAGTATTTTTGTATTTATTTAGTATTTTAAAACAATTTCTTTTCCAAATCCAGGACAAAAGTTAACTGGTCCTAGCATTATTTATACTTTCCGGTTGCATTTGCAATAACATTTATGACTGAAATGTCATAGCAGAGTGGCTGATAAAATCCTTTTATTATGGCTACCATCTTCCTTAATTTCTTACTGTAGTTATAACATGCTTATTCTGATAACATTTTATCCACTACCTTTAAAACTGCAAAAATAGATATCAATATTTAACAATATTTTAAGGATTATACAATGTATAAACTATTATTTTATGGCAGTTACCAATTCTTAAGATACGACTGCCAAAAAGCATACCAGTGTAAGCAGAGGAAGAAAGCAAGATGATAAATCACAACATAATTTTATAGTCTAATATCTCACCATCTGCCAGACATCAAAACAAATGCTTTTTACTGTTGGAAAACTGAGATTTTTAACTTTCCAGTGCCATGAATCATGCTTTTCAAGGTCTGAAGGTTTATAAGATACTGGAACTTAAAACTGTCATTGGTCCTTTGGCTTAGCAATTCCTTGATGGCATCGTTCCAGTGCTGAATAGATCAAGTCCTAGACTTCAGACCAGAGTACTTTTCAACCTCTCTAAGTCTCTCATGTTTAACTGTGTGCTGAGTGTTTAAGATAGATAAAAGTGTCTTGCAGGTAACTAGCCAGAGCCCACACAATTCATTTTCACTTCTTTCCAAGTTAAAATTTGAATCCAGATCCCACTTTACAATCAGCTTAATTTTACTAGGATGATTCACAGTCAATGGAGAACATGTATTTATGCCAAATGGTTGCTATTCACATAGTCACATGTACTAGATTACTAATAATTAGCATTTATAGAATGCCTTTTCCTTCATGGCTCTCAAGGCACTATATGAACCTATGTAAGCATTCTTACATGTGCCTTGCGCAGCCTCAAAAGAAATAGCAAATATTTGTAATAGGTTACCATTATTTCAAAGGATAATACTTCCTAAGGGCATGAAGCCACTCAGCTTTTGATGCCCAAGCCCAGCTATATTTCCATCTCATCTTCATACCTCTGTTTGCTTGATTCATCCATCCCATCTTACAGATTCTTTTACCCAATGCAGGCTTGTGTATCCACAAGGGGAAGAATATCTTTAAATCAAGACCGTTTTGTTAAAGTAAGTTAGAACATCTGCATATGTGACAAGGATCTCAGCTTATTCTAGGCATTTTATAAAAGGCAGGGTTAGGAAGAATAAGCCACTATTGTCTGAATTTCAAACACCTTTGGCAATTCCATTCTGGTAACACAATAGTTTCGCTTAATTTCATTCTGGGAGGAGAGTGCGGGAGGGATGCAGGCATGAACTGCTCAGATCCACATGTGGAGTTTGAAAAATAGATTTTCCTGTTAAAATTGCCCACTTCAGCTGATGGAATTAACTTTGGGAACTGCAGGTCAGATATTATGGGGCATACATCATTGCTTGCTCAATGGAATTGTGGAATCTGTTATGGGCTCCCTTTATTTGGGCTATTACTGCAGGAATACGATCATGCCTCTGCTAAAAGACACCAGCTTTGCTGTCAGACAAGCTGCAGTGCTGCAATGTGCAGGCCACATGCTTTCCAGTGGATCACATGGTTCTCCCACTGTGTGGAAGGCACTGATAAAGTAACTTTGTAGCTGTAGGATTAGGGACTAGAACTTGAAAAGCATCTTCTCTGGGATGAAAAGAGAAACTAATGAAGAGAAAATCTGGCAAATGAATAGTAATTTGCTGCAGATAATAAATGGTAATGGGACCATGACAGTGGGAGCCACAAAGGGGTTCTTTCTACCTCCCCCCTTCTCATCCTGCTCTTTTTACAGATGCTAATCCCCATACTCATTTCAGATTCAAGCTCATTTCTGAGCTGAAAGTGAAAAAGTAGACTAGCAGGAGACTTTCCATGATTTCCCTGGTAACTGCCCAATACCTCCAGAATTTCCTCCTAGTGAGGTTGGAGTGAATCATGTTTTTGACTGTGTGAGATGATTGAATGAAAAATCTGACTTAACGTGTGCTTTTCTTTTCACACTTATGAGCAACAACAAAGGGAGAGATTTTATATTTCATATCCAGGGTTTTCTCCTTAGGTATCCCATTATAGAAGCCTCTATAATCATGAAAGCACCTTAAAATATGCCCCACTTACAGGCTGTTCCACTGGTATGAGTGCAAAGCACTCTAAGGCAAAATCAGGCACCTGGACATGAAGCAGGGCACATTTTATAAATAACTACACACGTTAACTTGACTAGTCAGCAGTTTTTTCTCTACGCTACTTTATTCAAGCCTATGAAGGGGAAGTTTGTAAAATTAATACCCACTATTTAATGGGAAATTTGTTAAATGAACTGAATAAGCAAGTACAACAAAGTTTCTGCCGTATGCATTGTTACTGTCCAGTTTGTTGGCTGTTGTTCCAGCTTTTACATAAAGGGGAAAGTGTGTAGAGAATACATTTATTGTGCTTCTGGATTATATATGTCTTCTGTTGTACAATGGGATTATGTCATGGTTTTCCACTTATACTACAAGCAGTAGGAACGTAACATTTTACCTGGCCAGCGCAATGCAGATTTTGACCTATTTTAAAATATCTGCCAAGAAACAGTGCTTCCTAGTAGCCAGATAAAAAGTTCTCAAGCACACCAGAAAAACTGCAAAAAAAAATGTAACTGCATAGAGTTTGGAAGTAGGTAGAACTCAGCTCTTAAAGCCAAATCTTTCAACCATCTCTCAACCAGCTGCACTAATTGAAGCCAAGATCCTGGCTACTAAGTACAGTAGAACTGCTGAAGAGGCAGTTGTGCTGAAGACTGTAATGCAGCACAAGGAACTAATGAGCATAAGAAAGATTGTATAGTACAAAGACTTTAGTATGTGAAGTGGTTCATTATGGCCACCAAAGATTTCAACCCCCTGCCTTCAAAATGCCCATGTAGCTAGCAGTAAGATAACAGTTGAGCCCCCCTTTGTCTATGATACTTCACCACAGACCTGGATGCTACCTTTTACTCAGAGTGGGGGGGAAAGGTGATAAAAACTTTAAAGCAAACAAGCACACAGCTGGGGAATTAAAAATAGAAAACATCCAACTCTTTTCAACTTATACAAGTGTGTAGTGGTGGAAGTTATTTGCAGGTCCAAAACTTACAAGTGGAGTAGATCTGAAAGGGGGGTTATGGGGAGCTACTCCTGGAATTACTGGATTGGCCAAGTACATCCCAGGAATTCACCTTCAGTCTGAAATTCATTTTCTATCCCCACTGTCATTTCTTTTTTAACCACAGATCTAGCATTGAACATTCCAACTTTAATTCATTGGTTCATTCATTTGCTCAAACCAATGCCAATGAGAAACTTATCTGAGTGTATCTGACATCAGAAAATAAACTATGTACATGCGCACCCCATAAAAGAAAAACATTCCCAGATGAGATGCCTGGCAGATCAGAATGAATAAAGCACTGCCTGTAAAGTTCACAAGAGACATCTATTATTGCAAGATAAAAAAAAATAAGCTCTGGATTTTTTTAAATTCAGCAATCAATGAGAAAGACTTACTTTATAAGCCCTGATATGGATTAGATCCCACTGTGAACAGCTTCCATGAAATAAATATGATGTAAAAGTCACCTTCCAGCTTTCCACTTTGTTGCTGTCCTGTCAAAACTCAGAAAAGTTGTCTCGTCTTACTGTGTATGTGTGTGTGTGTGTGTGTGTGTGTGTGTGTCTGAAAGAGAGAGAGATGTTTGACAGTAAGGCAAATTGTGGTTAGAGCAGCCAGCTTCTGCTGGGTTTATATAGCTGAGCGAGAAATCCTGATCCCTGCTCATTCCACTGTAATGGGATGCCTGAAGGCAAGCTTTCCACTTTTTTTTTTTTTTTCAGTTGGCGAATTAAAGGAACAGCCTCCCTCTGGAGCCTGGGTTAGCTTGTGAAAGACAAATGCGCGCACTGGTGTGCACACACACATGCATATGCATGGTGACAGACGCAAAAAGGTATTTGCATGCAATTTAGGGGTAAAGAAGGAAACCCCTGGCTCCATTAAAAAGAAAGTCATCTCAAGGCAAGTGAAGCAGAAAGGATAATATCTTCCTTTTAGTATAGCAAAGGATACTTCTCCATTTTAATATTGTGAAAAAAGAAACAAATGTAAGTCAAATGAGAAGGGTGATAGATCCTGAATTCAATCCCCCAGGGCTTCTAGACCCTGATAGGCTAACTTTCTACCTGGTCTAAGACAGCCATGCTCTGTCAAAGACAGCTGAACTACACTAATGTACACCAACTGAGAATTTGGCCCGTTCATATAATTTCAACCTTGTCCCCTCATTAATGTCTCTGTGAACTGCTGCAAACTCAACAGCTGTAGGGGATAAAGCGAAGAAAATGAGTAAAATCTACTGAACTGAGATCTGCCTGACTTCCTTTCCCAGTGCTTTTGTCTCTTCCCTTCAAGAAAACTGGAGGTCTCATCTTTCTTCTCAGTATCAGATAAAAGGGGATTATGTGTCTGGGGTGCATGTGTGTTTGAAAAGATAATCTGTTCCTTTTTTATTATTATTACTGGGGACAAAGCTGCTACATTCACCCTTCGTTTCTCCCCCTTTTCTGTCTTGCTATTATCAATAATTTACAGGCCACTCATTTTAGGGGATTTCAAGGACACCTTTTGTTATCTCTGGCTCTCCTAGAACCTCAGGCTTGTGACTAAGAGTTAAGGGTATGTTAGCAGCTGTGCTAACATTGATATTCCTCCTATCTAACAGGATAAATTGGCCTTCCCCCATTCAGTCTCCATCATTAGCTTGTCCTCAGAGACTTGCAGCTCTGCCTTCATCTGGCTCATAACTGTACCAGCTATAATGTGTCTGATGGTCTTCCAGTTAACAAACATACTAGCAATAAGTTAGCCATCTGATGTCCTCCAAAACCCACTCAAGACAACAAAAGCATTTCTATTTACTTGACCAAGTAATGGATAAGCTACACAAGAAGCAGCTACTAAACTACAACCTTAGAGCACCACTTGGATCTAAGTTACAGCTCAAACTTCTTGTCTAGGTCCTTCAAATCACTTCATTTCACTTAGCTCTTTTTCAGCTGACATTTCTGAGGAGCATAGGGTTTGCCATGTAAGATCAGACCATCTGTCTATCAAATTCAGTACCATGCCTCTGGCAGTGCCCACTCCTGATACTTCACAAGAAGGAAGATTCTCTCTGTCCCAACCTATCTAAAAAAGACAAATAGAAATGATCAGCTATACGGTGTATGAGGGAGGGGCAGACATCTTAACCTGGAGCAATCATCTTAAATCCTGAATCATTTAAAATCCCATTAAAGCATCATCATAAGTCATTTTAGATTGTAGAGATACAAGTGAGTTATGGATCTTAACACGATTGAGTCTTCCTTTAAATCCATAATATTTCATTCTATTCTTTGACCCTCTTGTAAGCTGACACCTCTAGTTTATATTAAAGTCAGTCAAAAAAGAAAACAGGAAATGGGAAAAAAGATCCTGTTGCTTTCCAAGCAGATAAAGACCTTGTCGAGAAGTTTAAAATTCAAATTTTCAGTTACAAAATACTAGCTTCCTGTACTGCAAACTCTATATTCCAAGTTTCTGACCAGTTTTGTTTCTGAAGAATTGTCTCCTTCTATAGAATCTGAAAAAGTTATCAGTGAAATATTCTGATATCCAGTAAATATCTCCAGCTAAAATCGCCATGCCCCACTTTTCGGAGCAGGCTGAATCTTAAGTCTGTGCCCTCCTAGGTTTCATTTGCAATGACAGTTTTATGGAAACTTGCCGCTTTCTTTAATGTCAATGCATCTCAGCAAGGTAACAACCTTGTGAGCGTGAGAATAAATGGAACAGCAACATTTCTCCTGTATTTTGTGTCTAGCCCTTCTCTGAATATGACCTACATGGCACAGGAGTAATCAATACAGAGAGACCTAACTGACCAGTCTATGCTATTGCTTATTCCTGTAAAGTTCAAGGTAGGCTCATGCAAAGGGGAAAAAAAGGCTGAACAGGAGGTGTACCTCCATTGGGATGGCACTTAGGTCAGAAGATTCCCATGCACCACTACAGCCTGGGGACTGACTGGCTAAGCAGTAACTCTGCAGAGAAGAACCTGGGGGTTACAGTGGACAGGAAGATGGATATGAGTCAGCAGTGCACCCTTGTTGCCAAGAAGGCTAACGGCATCCCGGGCTCCACTAGTAGGAGCGTTGCATAGGAGCGTTGCCAGCAGATCAAGGGAAAGAATTATTCCCCTCTATTCTGCACTGGTGAGGCCACATCTGGAGTCCTGTGTCCAGTTTTGAGCCCCCCACTATAGAAAGGATGTGGACAAGTTGGAGAGAGTCCAGCAGAGGGCAATGAAAATGGTGAGGGGGCTGGGGGGCATGACTTGTGAGGAGAGGCTGAGGGAACTGGGTTTATTTAGCCTGCAGAAGAGAAGACTGAGGGGGATTTGGTAGCAGCCTTTAACTACCTGAAAGATGGTTCCACAGAGGATGGAGCTCGACTGTTCTCGGTGGCGGCAATAGAAATGGTGAGGGGGCTGAGACACATGACTTCCGAGGAGATGCTGAGGGAACTGGGTTTATTTAGTCTGCAGAATAGAAGACAGAGGGGATTTAATAGCAGCCTTCAACTACTTGAACGGGGTCCAAAGAGCATGGAGCTGGACTGTTCTCAGGGGTGACAGATGACAGAACAAGGAGCAATGGTCTCAAGTTGCAGCAAGGGAGGTGCAGGTTGGATATTAGGAAAAAATATCTCACTAGGAAGGTGGTGAAGCTCTGGAACAGGTTACCTAGAGAAATGGTGGAATATCTATTCTTGGAGGTTTTTAAGGCCCAGCTTGACAAAGCCTTGGCTGGAATGATCTAGCTGGGCACGGTCCTACTTTGAGCAGAGGGTTGGGTTAGATGATATCCTGAGGCCCCTTCCAACCCTCATTTTCTGTGATTCTATGATTGGCTGACATTTCAAATGTGATGGGGATTCAGGAAAAAAAGTATTCCAAAACATACCATTTCACAGTTGGGTAAAAGCATTAGGCTCATAAGCACATAAGCTCACAAAGTTTAAGGCCAGGGAAGATGATTATCAACATGCAGTATTTTCTAGTACAGATCCTACCATTTGTCACTTAATCCAGTTAGCATCCTCACTTCCAGCATCCTCACTTGAGAAGTAAAAATTGATGGCAGGGTTTTTTTTGTTTGTTCTTTTTTTTTTTTTTTACAAGAAAAAGGGAGGGAGGAATTTCTTTTACATATATGTAAAAAAAAAAAAATTTGGAATGGGTCCAAAACTAGTATTTGGATGCTAATCTCAGAGTGAAGCAGACCCTAACCCACAAGAATTCTGGAAAACATTCATCAGATGTATATGTCTTCTTATCATGACATGACAACTAGTATTTGATTGCAGGAGCTTGAACAATCTGGCTTGGTCAGGATTCAATGTTAAACTGTCTCACTCAGATCTAGAAATAATCTGAAACTGAGCAATATTTGAGAATGAGACTTGAATGCTGGCCTGAAGAGGAAGCATTTGAAAATACAGTGAGCAATAACGAGATGTCACTAACTACATTATACAAGTCAACAGACTAAGTAACATCATACAGAGGGAAAGAAGCAACCTGAATGAATGAGTCTCATTAAATATAAATGACCAAGTGACAGCGTTTTCATACAAGGCAAGAGATACCTGGTATGAATGGCTTTGAAACCTAGGAACCATCTTCAGCACAGGTCCCTGGAAGGAGATGAGTTTCTAGGTGGAGATTAGTGATGAAATGAGAGAAGGATCAGATGTGCAGATAATAAAAAAAAGCTGGGAGGTAGAGCAAATATATATCACATACACAGATTAATTTGACGTGCGTCCAAAATAAAAGAAGTTTAGTTGTGGATTTAAATGAATTACATTCCATAGTCATAAAAAGTCCCATTCTATTCTGTGATACACGTGCTGTGGAAAGGAAATTCTTGCCCATGTGAAGGAGATGTTGTATTACCAATTGAAATAGCATGAAGGAATCAGCATTGGGAAGATACAATTTTTGCACTTCAAAGAAAGTACTGTAAGGACAGACAGATTTAATGGAATGCAAGTAAAGCAAAGTCCTTGGTTAAAAGTGTTTGGTCTGAAGCTCTTATGCTGCAGGAACATTTGAAAGCAGCATCTTTGCCTGATTAGAACAGGCCATCAGAAAGCGGGAATCCTACCTCTTCTGCTTTCAGTATGACTTCGGGTGACTCATTCTTTTTTCCAGTCCCACGCCTGATGCTTTCAGATTCTCACAGGTTAAGTACAATTTGTAGCTTGTTTTGTTGTTGCTGTTCTTAAACTCCTCAAAATTAGAAGCACTGGAGCTCCAGTATTTAGACATGGGTCTGCATCAAAGTTTGAGGCTGTACAAACACGAAACCGTAAGGGTAGAGGTAAACTAACTATTTAGACTTGATAGCAACTTAGGATAAAGAATAATGGGTTATAAATAATATATATAGAGACACCATGGAAGAAAGCAAGCTTTTTTAATGGGAAGGTTAGTCACTACAAAGAGCTCTCAGGTGTATCTACAGCGTGGCCACAAACATCACGGTGAAGTAGTGCAGAAATTCTGAATCTAGCTTTAAAATGGCTTGTTCAGGAACCAGCAGCTGTTGAGGTAAGGCAGGGTCAAACACATCCACTGTCCAATGGCTTATGCTAATAGAAAAATAAAGGTATATAGTTAAGGAAAATTGAAT